AGGTGGGATTATTCTTGTTAATTTTTCCTTTTTATTTTTACAATCAATATTATAATTATCAACGTTATTGTGATTATTATTATTTAATAATATTATGGTTATTATTTATATTTTATTATAAATATAGTGTTGTTATTGATGTTTGATAAATAATACTCCGTAACATTTTTCATAAATGTTGAGATCATACTTAATATGTATTAATTTCCCTGATTATAGAGGCATAAGTGTAAAATAGAAATGCCAATATTGAGATGTGAGTTTGATCTGGAACTTTGTATATTATTATATCTCTGTGTACAAGTATGAGATTACTATGAACGGGAGATTTTGATCATCACCCCTCATTACCCCAAATCGGTCCTAAGTAATATGTATCTGGGGATTGCAATATTTCATTTCATACGGCTATCACAACGAAATATTACCGTATTGAATCACGAGTATTATTGATTTTTACTCGTGGTGCTATATATAATTTACATTTGTTATTGCATTTGCCTCTTAATTACTATTTAGTACATATTTAGTACAATTGGACTAAAACATTAAAACGACACACATGCTTTAGACCTACAGACCTAATATTCAGCCCACTCTTTTTTAGATTGTTTATTACCAAAACATTGATAGTATATTCTTATATGCTATTTCCGAACGGTCACTGCTCCGCTCACGGGCAAAGAGATGATGTCTCGCATTACTTTTAATCATCCATTATGGGGAAAAGTATGCATAAAGCTCGTGTGCAATATCATATAACCCAAAGGTACTAATCATTAACATTTCGTTATGTTAACCTTATCAAAATAACTTTGGGCATTTTCTCCTCGCGCATCGCGCGTCATATAACTAGTATATATATATGTGTGTGTGTGTATGCAATGCTAAGGTAAGGTAGACCTAAGAATTGTAATTCTTGGGCCTCTTTTATTTGAGGTGCTCTAGGTCGAATTTTTTGATGAAATTTTGTAAGCATGTTTTCCATGGATTGAAGATTATGTCCACCAAATTTCACAATAAAATTCAATCGGAAAGTCATTTAAATAAATTATTGAAAAAAAACTGCATTTTATATATGTAAAACCCTGCGCAATTTTGAAAAAATTATTTAACCAACTTCCCGATTGAATTTTATTATGAAATTTGGTGGGCATAGTCAACACTTCATGGAGAACATGCTCACAAAATTTCATCAAAAATATGTCCCAGAAGCACCTCAAATGAAAGAAGCCTAAGAATTTCAATTCTTAGGCCTACCTTACTTGAACATTTTCATATATATATATATATATATATATATATATATATATATATATATATATATATATTATATAATATCATATACTAGTATTCCACTTGTGCGATGCACGGAAAAATATATTTCCCATATAAAATTTATGTAATTTAATAATTTCTCACCTATAAATTAGATTGTCATGATGTAATAATATGAATTGTAAATATAAAGAGTTAATTTCCTATATATGTCAAAAAAGTGATCCAAGAGCACAAATAGGACTACATGTTTTTTCTCTCCCTAGTAAAACTATTTTATGTGTGTTTGGACAAATATGCTCTTGAGGCATTTGAAAGGTTTTAATTAATAATAAATTCATAAAAAATAATAAAAAACGTAAAAAAATAATAAAAAACGTCAAAAATTATAAAATTGTATACATAGATATAAATAGCACATACCCAAATTTAAGAAATTACCATTTATAATCTCTCTCAAAGGCAATCCCGAGAGCGGATTTGAGGCCAATGTTTGCTTATTTTTTTAATCAGCGGGCCACCATTTTTATCTGAAATATTAACAATTTTTTTATAAATATATATTGTACGAATTTCTCTAATCAACGTATCAACGTATGAGATTAAGCTAATCAAGTAATATAAAAAACAAAAGTTAATAATGTGAGTTATAAAAAACAATCATAATCAAATTTTCACTATACATTTTTAACTATTCTTGTAATTTGATTTCTAAAATAATAATATATTTATATTCACAATTTGTTTGAATTGATATAACACTTAATGAATTTTAAATAAAATAGCCATATATTTCAAAAAAGTCCTATCATTGCATTAAAAAAATATAATTTTTATCTAAATCTTTTTTATATGCATTATAAGTTGTAATTATTTCACAAATCAATTCAGAATTCAGCCCATAGCCATTTTTTTATGTGGAAATATCCCGTTAAGTCCGTCTTTTACAATTGCATTTCATTTATGTCACCTAAACAATTACTTTTCAAATAGAAACTTTTATCTTTTCACTTTTCAATTCTTATTTAAAAAATAACCAGATCCTTAATCAAAACATCCCCAGAGATCGTAAATCTGGCATCTTCTCCTCCTGCCCAGATCTGGCTGTGCCTCGGCTCCGCCCTCTGCTCTCCGTCTTGTGCTGCTTCGTATGCCGCTCTCCGCCCTCCGCCCTTCGCCCTGAGTGGCTTCTCCCTCCGCCCTCCGCCCTCCGCCCTCCGCCCTCCGCCCTCCGCCCTCCGCCCTCCGCCCTCCGCCCTCCTCCCGTGCTTGCTTGGCAACTTTGCTGCTTGCTGAATCGCGGCCTAACTGCCTGCTGGTTTCCGGTTTTCAAGTATGTGTTTCAGATTTGCAAGTATGTGTTTGAGATTTCAATGATCTATCATTCATTGAAGTATTTTGTTTTAATTTATTACGGAGTATCTACTTATTTGCTAAACTAGTTTGTTTGTTTTTAGAACTATGACTCCGATTAAGTTTTTGAATTAATTATTACATGAACTTATGGTTTGGCTTTCCAGTAATGAACATGAGAGCTTATTTCGTTCCTTGTAAGTAATATGGCCATGAACGGATGCTTTTTGTTGGGGGAGTTTCCTATTTGGTTGGCTGACACTGATTTTGGGTGTAAGTCTAGCACAAAGAGATGTTTGGAAACCCTTTTCATGAACTGCCGTTTCTGTGTGGAAGTGGATTACAATTGATTAGTAGTGGAAGACTACAACAACATAATTTTTGTTGCAGAGCTTTTGAGGTCTTTTGATTACCAGATGGAAATATGAAGTAGAGAATTTCAGAGAATAGAGGAAGAACACAGCGATTTGGAGAGCGTTAGGAAATTCGATCTCCTAGACAGGATGTTTGTTAGAGACATAAGAGGGTAAGCTAAAAAACTTGACAGATTGGTGTCTCGCATGCTAATTGTAGTTTATTAAAAAAAATCCCAATCTATTTCGATTAAAAAAATCAAAATTTCTTGTTGACCCTTCTTTTTCAAAATAATACGGAGTACTACGTATATTCCAACTTGTGTTTTTAGCATTATGATGAAATCTGCATTTCCAAGCACTAGTTTCCACAAATGAGTATTATTGTATGGTACTGCAAAGTGCAAAGAGAGATCAGCTGCCTACAATGACATCCTTTGAAAACTTGAGCAAATCAATAATATGTATTAGTATCATAGATCTTATTAGTCATCACTTTCTTCTATTCAAAATCTAGCTTCATAGGATCGAGCTAATTAAGTAGTTTTACATCATGCTATTTCCATTTTTTTTTTACAAGGTTTCAGTGCATTCGAAATTTCAGAATTTTGAACTTAGCTTTTCTTAACAATTAGGGCCGTAATCTTCATTGAGATTCCATTGATATTCTCAAAAGGGTTGATAGCATCAATGCTTGAAAGGTATTGGTGCAATTTTCGATCAATTTGTACACTCCTCTTGTAAGTCTCATTACTGAGTTTAGAAATAATAGCCAACTGCTATTTTTAGATGTTGCTTGAACTTGTTGTATTGATGTTTGGTCTAGAATTTTCAAATGATGTGTTCCTACATAATGTGACATGTGGACTTTTCTATTATTAATCATTCATATATTTGTTCAAAGATTGAGAGTAGAAAAGCTTATGCCTCTTCATTAGCTATTCACATATTGATTCAGATTTTTTTTATATAGTGATTGCATTATATTCCCATTGCAGGTTCATAATAAAAAAGCTTATTAGGTTCACAAACCTAATAAGCTTTGTGTTGAGTTGCAATAAAAGGAATAAGAAGTGAGCAGAACCAAAAGCACTAGATGTGATAGATAAATGTAATAAATTGTACTAATAGATTAAATTATATGTATTTTGTCATATTTGCATATGTTATTTTTGTTGCATAATATGTGTTGTTTTTTGTTGCATCTTGTTTCATTTCTAGATAAATGTAATAAATTGTACTAATAGATTAAATTATAGAGTATGTATTTTGTCATATTTGTATATGTTATTTTTGTTGCTTTTTGTTGCATAATATGTGTTGTTTTTTGTTGCATCTTGTTGTATCTTGTTTCATCTTGTTGCATCTTGTTTCATTTTGTTGTATCATGTTGTATATTGTTCTTTATTATTGATTTTGATTTTTTTCTATTTACATTTATATTTATATTTGTTCATGATTGGGAACAAAAATGGGATATTGCTATATATAAAAACTACTAAAATGATAAATTTAGATTTATCAATAAACAAAAATAATCATTAAGAAACAAAAAAAATTAAAATGATCAACAAAGAGAAACACAAAGAAACAATATGCAACAGTAGCAATTTAATGATAATAATATTATTTTATATGTGTGGGGTTTTTATATTTTGCATGCTTTTTATTTTACTCTAGTTTTATGATTATTAAAATTTACATAATCTTATTTTCTATTTTTATATTCTTTTCTGCGATTATTTTATATTTGATGAATGTTTTCAAAGTTTATTTATTAATTTTAGATTTTTTTATGTTTTCAAATATCAGAGTTTGTATTCTTTATATTTTTATAATTGTTTTAAGTTTTTTCGTATTTTATGCATTTTATTTATCTTAAAATTTTTAAATTTGTTACACTTTAAAAATAACCTGTTTACACATTTTTTATTAAATTTTATAGTAATTCATATATACTTTTTTCTTTCTTTCTTTATTTTATATTTTTCTTAATTTTAAGATTTTTATTTATTTATTTATTTTCTTTTTTAGAATATTTAGATTTGTTTAGATTTTTTACTCTTTTATAAAGTTTTAATTATGTTCACATTTTATATTTTTTCTGAAAAATAGTTCATTTTATTTTATTTGTTATTTTTTCACGAATTCATATTTTAGAAATATTTAATTTCTTATTTTACATTTTTTTAGTGTTTGAATACATTTTTTTAGTGTTTAAAACTCAATTGATTTTTTAGAATTATTTTTTCTAGGCTTTATCACCTTTTCAAATTTTTACATTTTCCTATTTAAATATTTAAAAAGTACTCCGTGAGTTATACTTTTGGTATACGTTTATACCGAGTAGAAAAGATGTAGTAGTATGAGTAAGCACTAAGCTTCACGTGGCTCACTTCCACGTGTGACTATGTGAGTAAGCATTAAGCTTGCTTCAGCGGACAGTCTAGTTTTGAAAGAAAAACGTTTCGGTAGACTATATTTGCAAAAAAAATGATATAATTTCCCTTTTTTTATTCCAGTCAAGTAGTTTAGGCCCAAAATACTAAAAACCCAATTTTTGATTGCAGCTCAAAGGCCAGGACCGAAAATAATAATCCATATACCTCTTCGGAAAGGCCAATCTTCACATCTCTGACTCCACCTACATGCCGATCTTCATCATCGTCATCCCGATCTCAAACAGAACCATAGATACACAGCCCCGCAGCTCCTAAACCTGAATCCGCAAGCGTTTTCTAACGCACCTCCATCTTCTACGCGAACCACACCGGCAGCATCGACAATCTATACATTTACCGGCCTCATTTTCGGAGAAATCTGAAGGATCTCAGCCACAATCTGCAACAAATTTGGAGAGATAAGTGTTTTTTCCGCTACTTTGTATAGATTCTGAAGTACTTCAATTATTTTTATGAAATAAATGCATGTAAATTACAAATTGATTAATCTGCCATCGTTAGTACCTCGTTTTTATTCAGTCTGGTTTGAATAAAAATCCTTATTTTTTAAATCCGGACCATAATACAAAGATGCAATTTCAATTAAACATATTTGACTCCAGTTCACTTAAACCCTTATTCATCATCCATATAGTACAAATTTGAACTGTTTTTATTAAAATATAAATACTGCACTGCTGTGCTATGACTCTAGAAATCAATTTACTGTCTTACCTTTATCATTGGTGACAGCTAAACCTCTTTCCCCCAAATTGTGCACTCCTTGTAAGCTTGACCAGTTTATCTTGTTTTTCCTAATAGATCTGCAAAACTTTGGAGTACCTTAAGGTATGCAAAATATGCTACATTCAATGAATGTAAGATATAAACCTCTAAACCATCTAATGGTTTAACAGGCACCTACACAAATTTCTAAGAAGTGAGACTATGCAATTTAACGAAAACAGATTTACTTCTCTACTATAAGCATCAAATTCATGTATACCTAACTACTTAAAAGGTGAATCTGTATTTTTTTAATAAAACTATAGTTTACTTCTCAGTTCTCACTAATGAATCTGTAAATACTTTCCTATTTGCTTAATGAATCTGTATACGGTTACCATTCACTATATAGTTCACTGCCTATCTTTACATTTTTCTGTTCTTAAGAAGAGTGCCTATCTTTTATATATCTTAAATGACAGCCCTTTATCTTGAAACAATTTAATGAACTAATAAACTATATCATTTTTTCTTAGATATAATCAATATTAATTGACTAATAAAAAACCTCATTATTTTTCTTTTTAATACATCCTAAGTACTGAAACAATTTTATTGAACTAATAAAAACTATAGCATTTTTCATTGAATACATTCTTAGTGAGAACTATATAATTCAAAACTGAAGTGAATCCATTACTATATTCTTACATACTTAAGCATTGAATCTTAATTTTTACTAAACACCGAATCAACTATTGACTAATGACTTTTCATTAAAATCAACTTCATCGAGACATGTATGTATGAAGTTCAGCTTTTTATTTTTTGTTTCTCCCGAATTAACAACTTTGATTGTAAAAGACACTTTTAATAAAATTATTTTTAAAATCTGCCATTTTCCCTATTGAACTTTTAAAATCTGCCATTTTCCCTAATTAAATCTATTTTCAATATACCATTTCTTGCATTATTTTTACTGAATATTGCTGTTTTGCTGTTATTATACACATTTGAATCATCTCTATAACACACTAACCTCTGAATATTCCTGCACGACAAAACTGTAAAGTCACAATGACTGGTTCAGTCTGATCATTGCCTATATATGGAAGAATTTGATCAACAAAGTCATCCCAAAACGTGCATGACAATTGATTCAACCTGTATTATTTCACAACACTGGCAATTATACATTTGTGCCAAGTAGAAATATGCACTAAAAAGATAAATTGTAGAATAAAAGTATTAGGGAACCTTGGATACATCACTTCTTGAACCTTGGATAAAAGTCATAGTAAGAAAGTGGTCTACGCCTTTCCAAAATCGGGAGTTGGGCATCCGATCGGTTGAGTTTGTTTTGATTGATGAGGAGGTGATGTTAATTTAGATCTAATTTCATACCAATTAAAATAAAATTTTGAAATGTTTTTTTCAACTTTGAACATTCATTCACTTTGAGAAGATCAGCTTCAAGCATCTTAAATTGCTTTTGGAAGCACAAGGTTTTATGAGGTTCCAATTTATGTTAAGTTTAGTACCAGTGTGTTGAATCTAAAGTCTAAATCCATTTCACAGTATTAATAGCAGATTCAAATCTACCAAAACTAATACACTTCATGACTTCTTAAAAAGTGGCCTGCTGCCTGCATATCTAACTTGTAATGAAATTAATTTATCTTCTCTAGGCTCATGCATTCCATTTACTCAAGCATATGTTCTTCTATTTTTTATTCTTATGTGGTGGGGGTTCTTTTATTTGTTACTCTTCCATTTAAAGCTTTGTTCCTCTTTTTCATCTCTTCTTTTTTACTTATTTCTTCTTTCATATACACACATTATATACACATAGGTTGAGAATACTATTTATCTTTGGTTTGGATTCAGAATGATTAGCAGGAATGAATGACAAACTATACCATTGGTTTGGTTTGAATCTGAAGTTATGATTTTTTCAGAGCATAAAAGTATGTCTGATGTATTATATCCTTGTGAAAATCTGAGACTTCCGAAACTTAGAAACTTACAGTGCAGTAATTCAACTTTTCATGGCATTGCTATTTTTTTGTATTACACACACATAAGTTGAGAATACTATTTATCTTTGGTTTGGTTTCAGAATGATGAGCAGCAATGAATGACAAACTATACCATTGCTTTGAATTGAATCTTTTCATCTCTTTGTTTTAATATAATGATGACCACCGCGCCACAGTATTAATGGCAGATTCAAATCTACCAAAACTGATACACTTCATCACTTTTTAAAAAGTCGCGTGCATACCTAACTTAAAATGAAATTAATTTATCTTCTCTAGGTTCATGCATTCCATTTACACAAGCATATGTTCTTCTATTTTTTATTCTATTTTTTGTATAGGTTCTGCATATTTTTTATTCTGTTTTTGCATATTCTATTTTTTACACAAACATCCAATCATTATTTTTTGTAGGTTGGTTGGGCTAGGTGTTTTTGCGGAGTTTGGAGGTGGGGGTAGGAATAAATTGGAAAAGCCTAATTTAAAAAAAAAATCGCGCCCGACCCGACCCTGGGCACGTCCCAATAGAATCCCGGGCAAGACGGGCCTGGAGCCCGACTTGACTGCCCAAGACGGGCCTGGAGCCCGACTTGACCGGGCCGGCTTGACCTATCTGTGGGTAGAATAATCTCCAGAACTGCACCAGATCCATGCCTTAGAACCAAATCGAACAAGACTTCCCATTTCCAGACCACATTTCCAGACCAAAACCGGGACAGTGTCTACCCCTATGGCCATATCCCTAGCTCTTTCTGTAGTCAAATCTTTCCTTTTATGAAGATGTGTGTTATCACAAACCCAACTCACATAGTTGTAATATGTCATTATAAAACACACTGTATCTAACTGCATTCATATTGGATTTGAAAATGCAGTAACCAGTTGACACATAGGATAAAAGATGTTGACAAAGCCTTTTTGCATGTACAAAGATTTGTGATGAGTTTCTACAAGTTTTGAAAGAACTCGATCAGGCACAAAACATTGAACAATCCAATGAACACATCCGAAAGCTAATATGCTACCTTATGATATGATTTGAGAAGGACTCATTTCAGCAGTATAATTGCATGGACACAAAAACCTATGAATGTCTCTTTTCAAGAGCAGCTGGACTCTTATGGTTGGCGCATGGCACAAGATAAGGCAAGTAGGATCTTTGTAAGAAAACAGCTATGCAGGAAGATGAAAATCAAATTATGCTCCAGAATTGGAATCAAGACATTGAAAACATGTTTGTGGCACCTTATAGTTGTTTTCAGCAGATAAGAGTGTTTGGAAAAATCATGATGAGAGTTTCTCTACTGCCTCCCACGAGTATGCTTTTTCAACGCCTGACGCCATTATGAAACCATAGCCCTTATCACCCCAACTAGTACCCCAACTGTTAAATATCTCAAAACACTAACACCGTTTATTAATCGAAACCCGGTTAGTACGCAAGCGTGCCATTCATTTTTGTAAGATAAACCTTATTTTTTCCACTTTTGTATAAGGTACTTCAGGTGTTAGAAAACTATTATTTGACAAATAGCTAAAATCAGTTCTTATTTTGTAAGACACAATGAACGGGCCGCTTGTTTTGAGCTCTTTCTTGAGTTTCTCTATATAAATTCTTGAAGAGGTACTGTCACGCCTAATGACCTTGGGTCCCACAACAGTAACCAATCTTACTTTAGATTTCTTTAAACCATTTTCAAACTTAGTAAACCTTTCAATCTTATAGCATCTTTCAGTCCCCTTTTCCTCTTACAGGAGTAGCTTTTCTCAAAAGCTACACTATGGTTTTTGAGGAACGTCTCAATACGCTTATTATGCATTGGATGTGTTCCCTTCATTATATCTTTTTCGTCCAGGCCATCCAACACGTGTTCAATAGACAAATTACCAATTGCTCGTCTTTTTACGAGGCAGACTTGCTTCATCCTGAAGAAGACGAGCAAAGTTACCAATTGCCTCGTAAAAAGACGAGCAATTGGTAATTTGTCTATTGAACACGTGCTGGATGGTCTCGAAGAAAAAGATATAATGTAGGGAGCATATCTAATGCATAGTAAACGTATTGAGCGTTCCCCAAAAATCATGATGTAGCTTTTGAGAAAAACTACCCCTGTAAATGGAAAAAGGGGACTAAAAATTGCTATAAGGTTGAAAGGTTTACTAAGTTTGAAAATGGTTTAAAGAAATCTAAAGTAAGATTGGTTACTGTTGTGGGACCCAAGGTCATTAGGCGTGACAGTATCTGTTCAAGAATTTATATAGAAATTCAAGAAAGAGCTCAAAACAAGCGGCCCGTTCATTGTGTCTTTCAAAATAAGAACTGGTTTAAGCTATTTGCCAAAGAATAGTTTTCTAACACGTGAAGTGCCTTATACGAAAGTTGCGGTACGTAAAAAAAAGGAAAAAATGAGGGTTTATAAACGGTGTTGGTGTTTTGAGATACTTAACAGTTGGGGTACTAGTCAGGGTGATTAGGGCTATGGTTTAATAATGGCGTCAGACCTCGAAAAAGCATACTCGTGGGAGGGGGTGGAGAAACTCTCGTCATGATGCTTCCAAACACTCTTATCTGTTGAAAACAACTTTATGGTGCCACAAACATGCTTTCAATGTCTTGGTTCCAATTCTGGATCATAATTTGATTTTCATCTTCTTGTGTAGCTGTTTTCTTACAAAGATTTCCCAAATTGCAGGGACCAAGAAAGAAGATCCTAGACCTGGGATTTTGGAACTGGGAACCGAAAAAATGATCGGAAACTATATAACTCGGTTCGGTTCCTGTTTTTGGTTCTAAACAAATTATCGGTTCGGTTCTTATTAGGATTTATTGGTTCGGTTCCCAGTTTATCATAAAAAATTGTCCTTAGAACCGATATAGAACCGTTAAGTGTTAGTTCCTTCTGAGGAGCTACCCGTTGGTGGGTTGTCTCTGTAGCCCACTTATTTTGTAGTTCCGTATTGGAGTATTGCTTAAAATTAAAATCCAACTTTCAGCCTTTAGCCCAAAGCAACCTTAAGCTGCTTCGATCATCTACGAGTTGTGGCTCTGCTCTTTCATATTCATACACCTCCTTCAACAATTTTAATGGCTTGCTCAGACGAGAGGTCTAGGTATGCTTATCTTGCTCTCTGTATTTCTTTAATTCGAACTTTGGAATGTCCAGACAAAATTACCGAAGATTCATCTAATTAGGTCTTTCCTTCTTGTTTTGGTCAGCGGATTTTCTATACACATCGGAACTTCTGTGTAGAGCAAAGCTCCTCTCCGTGTCAATTGTCTTGCTCCGATTTTGCATCACAGTGTTCATTAACCCTACCGTCAAGAGCAAAGAGAAGGTATGTATGTTAATCTCCAAGCTATTTAATTTCTATTTCAAATCATTGTAATATTTATTTTTCCATATGTGATTTATCATTTATGTTTCATCTCAGATTCTCAAATGGATTTATAATTTTCATGATTTTTTGTTTACCCAGTATCTTATGCTCCGTATCATTGAGCATAATTTTAGTTGAAGAACTTAGGGAGTAATTGCAACTGCTTCTGCTTAAAAAAACACTTTTGGAGATGTAAGGAAAAAGTGATTAGTAGTAAAAGTTGACAGTGTTTGAGAAAAAAGTGATTTTGAAAAGTAAAAGTTGGTAGTGTTTGGTAAAATAAGTGCTTTTTGTGTAATAGAAAAGGGAAAAACACTTTTCACACTCAAGCCGAGAAAAAGTAAAAATTGGTAGTGTTTGGTAAATAAGTGTTTTTTTAAGCCAAAAGTTGAGAAGTGTTTTTTTTAAATTGTTGCAAACACTCCCTTAAGTCATCTTTGGTCGACTCTATGCTACTACTATAGTGTTTAGGAATTTATGAAATTGTTTATTCAATTTATGTAATTGTTTTTTATCAATTTACGAAGTTTTTTTATCAAATATATTAGTTTTTAATTAATTTATGAAATTGTTTTTTATCAAATGTATTCGTGTTGGATACAATACGTTATTGAATATACTGTTGTATTTCAGAAAACTTCAAGGATGTATTGAAAACTATTGAATACAACTTATTTCTACATAAGTTGTAAAGCTAAACTTATGTATTATTGAGAAAAAAATTGTACTTTAAGGAATCGATAAAATGCAAGAATCAAACCGTTAAGATATGATTCGGTTCCATAACAGTTCTACATTTTTTTAACTAGAACTGAACCAATTTTAAGAGAGATATTTCTTAACGGTTACACCAATTTTAATGAGGAACCGAATTGGTCCCAGTCCTAGAAGATCCTACTTGCCTTATCTCGTGCCAAGCGCCAACCATAAGAGTCCACCTGCTCTTGAAAAGAGACATTCATAGGTTTTTGTCCCCATGCAATTATATTGCTGAAATGAGTCTTTCTCAAATCATATCACAAGGTGACATTTTAGCTTTTGGTATACTGCTGAAATGAGTCTTTCTCAAATCATATTACAAGGTGGCATTTTAGCTTTCGGCTGTGTTCATTGGATTGTTCAATGTTTTGTGCCTGATCGAGTTCTTTCAAAAATAATCTGCAGAAGTCTAACATTGGTATCAGAGACTGTTGATCTTGGTGGATGGTTTGGAAGCAAGGGAAGATGGAATCGAGGTTAAACAAGTTGGAGAGGAAGATCACAGAAGTTATCGCCATATTGGATAAGAGAGATCAACATCGATCGCGAGGCAAAAGTCGATCGCGAAGCAGGTCCCATGCCTCACACGCTTCGCATCGCACATCGCTTCGTCACTCTGCGCGATCGATTGAGGGCTCAGAAAAATCAGAAGAGTGTCGCAGAGGGCCTAGAGACCAATCGAAGAAGACTAGGCATCTTCCGATACCTGAAAAACAAAATTCGTCGCAATCGTGCACCAAGAGGAAAACTGAGTCGCGAATGTCGACTCTCAGATCGCAGAAATCAGAAACAGATGGTCTCAATACGCAGGCATCCCCATCTGTTATCAACTCGCGTAACAAGGCATCGCGAACGAAAGAGGAACCATCAGATTCGCTAGTTTTGTCGCGAGGTAATTCTCTACGTGCGCAAGAATTTCCCCGTTCAATAAAGAATAACGAATTGGAGCCAACTGGTTCTAGGTTCAAGAAAAGGAATAACGAGGACGAAATCGAGGAGCAAATTACAGTTGTAGGTGTGTTAAAGTCTGAAATGGCTCTTCAGGTTTGTGGTAATTCTTTTCATCTCACACAAAAGATGAACTGGCCAAATATCTTAGAGTCTGAAATGGTGTATCATCAGTCTTCAAACATCTCGTTGGTAGGAATGAACAAGTTTGGTGATCTTAGATTGGAAGATGTCTCTATGTTGAATTATGATGTAAGGAAAAAACATGGTGTACAATCGCTAGATGGCCCAGATAATTGTTTTCATAATCTTGCAACAGAAAAATTTGCTGTTATGATTGGGAACTGCAAAACGATTCATGAGGATGATAAATCTAGACAGTCCGAGCATTTTGGCAGAAGTTCACTGCAACTCGCAACCATTATTGTTAAAAAGTATTCAGGTTCTTTTACTGCTGAGGTGTCCAAATGGTACAAGGAAAGTGGGTAAAGTACGCAGGCTATGAATTAAGATTGAATCACAGAAATGAGGAGTCATTGATACAAGTTGCAGGAGTACAAAAAGCAGAATGGCAGCCATTTGTTGACAGCATGATAAGCTACATCAAGCTTGGCCTACATAATCCATGGAAAGCACTAGAAGGTTATCTAAAATTGGGAGAGATATATGCAAAGACAAAGCTTAGCCTATCATTTCCTGATGTTTTTGACAGCTTCACAAGGGTATTACATAGGATGGTTCTTAAGAGTTACCAGCAAGCTTTAGGCGAAGTTGTTGCACCAAAATTTTTAGAAAAATTCTATGGGAATCAGGCCCATGTTCTGGCAAGGTATATTGGAGTGTCAGGAAAGTATCTGGGACAGAACAGCCCTGGTTTTTGGTGCATTTATGGTCTTTTGGCAATTGTTACTTCCTTTAACACTAAAGTGGAGCTTCCTGTATGTCAGCAGGTGGGTGCATTATACAAGGGAAATAAACCTATTCTCAATTTTGATAGCAGGGTGTGCAGTATGGTGGATCCAATGATGCTTCGGGTTCATGATTGGGGAATACAGTTGGGAATAGCTGAATTCTTAAACACAGAAGGAACAACTCATTATGATTCAAGTTCTCTTAAACTTACTTCTGACAGGTGGGAGAATGAAGTGCTGCATGAGCTATTCAGTGTGAAGTTTCAATCAAAAGATAGGGTGAAGGCAGAAACAAATGCTATGCTAAAGCTGGTCAAGAGTTTTCCACCTAGAGGACTAGAAGTATGGAAACGTATGACACCAGCATCAACTAAGTACTGGGAAGGGAGAGGCACCAGGAGGAAGCTGAATCCCAGACGTGGTTCATATCTTTCCAACTTGAGGGCAAGTTGGACTTTCAGGAGGGGAGATATGATAGAGACTTTACTAATATGAAGATATAAGAGATAAATACTTCAATAAAATGTATTCCAGAAAGATATAGAGTTGTTATTAGTCAAGTCGGTTATGAGCTAATTACTACCAGGGGTTAGCCTTACTGACTATAAATAGAATACGGCTGGGAGTAATAGTTAGGCGGTAATTGACTTGTAAAACTGTACGCTTGAGAAATGTTGCCTTAGGCCATTCGGCCATTGTTGCCTGAGAAATAAAGTTGCCTTTTACGTTCTTGAATCAGTTGTTAGTTCTGTTAGAAATAATCTGCAGAAGTCTAACAAGAAACTCAATCACAAATCTTTGTACATGCAAAAAGGCTTTGTCAACATCTTTTATCCTGTGTGTTAATTGGTTAGTGCATTTTCAAATCCAATATGAATGCAGTTAGATACAGTCATACAGTGTGTTTTATAATGACATATTACAACTATGTGAGTTGGGTTTGTGATGACACACATCTTCATTAAAGGAAAGATTTGACTACGGAAAGAGCTAGGGATATGGCCATAGGGGTAGACATTGTCCAGGTTCTGGTCTGGAAATGTGGTTTGGAAATGGGAAGTCTTGTTCAATTTGGTTCAAGGCATGGATCTGGTGCAGTTCCGGAGATTATTCTACCCACTCCCACAAGTAGGGATGGATCGGGTCAGGCCGTGCTCCAGGCCCATCTTAGGCGGTACTGGATTTCTAGGGTTGAGGCTCGATACCGGCCCGGGATCCTATTGGGACGTGCCTGGGATCGGGTTCGCCCGGGTTAATTTTTTGTGAAAACTTCACAAATAGACTAAAAAGTAGAAATAATATCACTTTTGTCACTCTTAATTTTCCTTTTCAAAAATAGACTATTCGGAGCCACGGAGGTAACGGATAATAAAGCATCAGCCCACTTTACTTGATTCCCTTCCTATCCTTCACAATTGTACTGCCGCTATTCTCTTATGGATAAATTAATAGGAAGTACAAACTACACGGATCATTCTATTTTAGTTTTTAAATAGAAAAAATGAACGAATTCAAGGAAAACCCAAAAGGTATATAAATAAATATAAAAATAATAAAAGTCAAAATAGCAAACAATTAAAAAACAGATTAAAAATATAAAATTATAAAACATACAGGGTGAAAAATTGAAAAATTGTGAGTTAGATATTATCATAAATTATTAACACAAAACTCAAAAATAAAAATAAAAACCATTTAAAATAGTTTAAAATGTCGGAAAATTGCAAAAAAAAAACTTAGCATAAATTTCTGTGATTTAATTTTTAATATAGTAAATAAAACTTAAAAAATAACAAATCTCAAAATAATAAACTAATCATAAATTTCATAAAAAGTAAAATATTTAAAAATTTAAAAATCAAATAAATTTGGTAAAAAAATGAAAAGGTCTAAAAATACACAAATATAATTAAAAATGTAACGAACAAGGTACACAATATGATTTTTTAAATGTAATGTTTTAATATATAATAAAATTAATTTAAAAATATAAAATCGAAAGTTTATGAAAACATGTATAAAATATTTAAAAACCAACAATTTTGAAAACATTAAAAAATACTTGAAATATAATAAAATATTTTGAAAATATTAAATAATATAACAAATAATCATAATGTTGTATGAGAAAGTAATTATTTTGAAAAATTGGAAAATGATTATTCAAAAAGTTAAAATTATTTTAGATTATAGTGGTAAAAATGAAAAATATATCACATAAAATTATACGGAGTAAAAAAATAAGAAATTTAATGTAACCGTAAAGATTTCAAGATTAAAATAAATTTAGGGAATAAAAAAATTAAAATTAAAATACAGAACTTGGTAAAAATTAAAAAAATTAAAAGCATTTTAACCTTTGTGATTATTATTATTATTACTCCGTATTCGTTTGTTGCATATCGTTTCAATGTGTTTCTTTTTGTTTATAATTAAGAAATTTTTGTTTTTGATTGTTTCTTTATGTTTCTAGTTTTTGTTTAAAGTCATAAATATAAATTTCTCATTTTAGGTGTCTTTAGTAATCTATAGATATTTTGATATTAAGGAAGTAGCAAAGATAAATAGAAGCCGTGATATTAAACAACATGATACAATAACAAGCAACACTTTGCAACAAAAAAAACATTTTGCAACAAAAAGCAACACAATGCAAAAAAAATAATGCACGTGATACAACAATAAGAAACAAACAATAATAGACATACAAAAGTGTCACAGTAAGTATATAATTCAATCTAAATTGAGACTGTCTGTATTTCTGGATTTAGTTATTTGTATGTAGCATAATGTTCATCTCTAGAAACTATATTTCAGCCAAATGGAGTTTCGAGGTTGTTTATAGTTTCTGGATTTGGAGATTTCTGACAAAACTTGCAAACAAATCTTCAAATGACTGGTTGCTAGTGTTGAGCATGCCACCTTTCTCAGCTTTATATGTTCCTATCAAATATAAAAATCAATGAATTATAGAGCATTATATTAGGGAGCATATGGAGATGAGAGGTCCAAAAAGGCATAAGACATGTGGGAGTATATGGTTTTAACTCTAACATAGGTAAAGAAGAGCTCTGAACATGCTAACCAAATGCAGAAACACACAAATGGATGATCCACTGTAAAGTCACAAAAACGCAAGTCCAGATGAAAAAATATGCAATTCGGAAGAAAGGAAACTCTAGAAGAAGGAAATAATGAATTTTAGACAGGAGTTATGTTGTCTTATTGATTGAAGATTGGTCAATGAAAATCAATTCACAAAGTGATTTAAAACAACTTCAACCAAAAGGCATACAGAACTCACAGAATGCATACAAATGGCAAGCTGTGTTAATAAGAAAAATTCAGAAAGTGATTAAGCATGTAAATCTGACTTAGAACTTAGAAGGTAGAAAATTTAAGGTATGACTTATAAAACATAACCAGTAACTTTTATTAGTGAGAAAAGAGTAAATTATGAGCAAAAATACGTCTGTAACCACCACAGCCCATTCACACATCTAAAAGTAAAGCTAAAGATATTACATTTCTTGGAGATTATAATGTTTATATAACCTAGAAAGTAGAAACTATACAATTTTCGTCTAAGACTAGTTTCTAGTTTCTAAGTTTCTAAATTTCAGCCAAATGGAGTTTCTAGATTTCCAAACAATATCAATTAAAAGCTTTTATGTGATAATCACAATTATCTCTAAACTTGGCAATTGGATAAAGAATAGAGTTCCAACATTTATTCCTCATCTAAGTATGATAGAATGAACCCTATATTATCTATCTATACAACAAATGAAAGCCTTCATCATGAGAGCACATCTATACAGAATTAGAAAAATATGCCATTTTTACAGAAACGCAAAATTCGTATGCATTCATTCAATAAGTGTTTTCGTCAAAGTCACATTTACACTGAAATTAATAATTTAATACTACACTAAGTAATGAGAATATGTGAAAATCACAAGCAGAATTCACATTAATACTAATGTAGTTGTACATATGCAGATTGGCTAAAGCAGGAAAGAAAACAACAAAAGCAACATTACACAGGCAGCAAGCCAGAAATAAAGAAGACTAAAAACATAAAATATCAGTTAGAACACTCAAAGGCTCAACTAGAAAAAAAATCCTCTTGCTGGTAGAAGACAAATTGAAGAAGCGAGACCTAATGAATAAAAAGCGCTTAGCTGCATTCCTGCTGCTGGATAGCCCTGAAGGGTCCATTACAGACCTTCAGGTATTTTATCTATCGTTTTGCTCAACAAGTATATGAATTCAATAGTGAATTGTAACAAAAATAAAGTAAAAGTAAAATAAAGCTAAATCGGAAATCTGAAATAAATCTTAACTTCTCCATATATGAATTATAACAAAAATAAAAGTGGAGGTAAAATGCTCAAAATCTCAAACGTATACCTGCAAATCGGAAACCAGTAGTCAGTGAGGCCGCGATTCAGAGCAGAGTTGCGGAGCAAGCACGGGCGGAGGGGCCTAGAGCGGAGGGCGGAGAGAGAAGCACGGAGCAGCACAAGACGGAGGCAAATGGCAGAGCCGTTGAGGCCGGAACTGCAACTGGAGCTGGGCAAGCGGGGAATAGCCGCACACGTCTCTGTGCTTCGGTTTGACAGGTCGTGAGGTTGGACGAACAAGACCTGAGTCACTGAGGTGCACACTGCAGTTTGACTCGCCTCGATCGCCGCCGGCCGGAGACTGGAATCGCCTAATCGTTGCCTCGGTGACTTCGCTGAGGCGCTGAATTTGTTGGAATAATCTTAAATTTTTAATTATTAGTTATTTGGTTTATTTATTTAAGTTATGTTTTAATTAAGATATGGTTTGTTTATCCGTAAGCTTTTATTTATTAGTGTCTTGCAGTAGTTGATTTGGTCTAATATTTAAGGAGATCTTTTAGGAGGTTGAGGAGAAGTGGAGCACGTCGAGGAGGTTATTCCATTATGGTTCCCACTTTGTAGCTCTAGACTTTAAAATTTCCTTTAAATACTTTGTATTCCAAGTTTATAAAGATTACGTAGAAATGGTTTGCTCTCAATTGTTCTCTATTATGTGTGAGTGTTTCTGCCGTGCTTATAATATGTAAACAACAGAATTGGTGAAGCGGATGAGTGTTGTGTGACTTGTGTCATATGTCGGTATGTTCTCGACTGCTCTCGTTCAATCCTAGTTAGGTTATATTTGAAATAAGAAAATTAGAATTGAAAAGGCAAAAGTTTCTAATTAAAAAGTAAATCATTAGGTAACATAAATGAAATGCAACTATAAAAAGTGGACTGAACGAGGTATTTCCACTATTTTTTTTTTTAAATTAGGCTTTTCTAATTTGTTCCTACCCCTACGGCCCTACCTGCAAACTCCGTAAAAACACCCAGCCCAACCCACCTAGCAGTGGCCCAATGTCAAAAACTAAAAAAGTGGACTGGTTGGGTCGATCACCCATTTCCCAGTCTCGTAGCCCGCCCCACCCCCCAACCCCCGGTTTGGGCCTCAGTCCCGGTCCTGGTACCACCGGGCCGGGCCGGGCCGGTACTGAACAATGGCGGTCCTGGGCCGGGCCCGGGCTGTCATGTCCAAGTACATCCCTACTTACAGGCCACAATCGCAATTAGTAAATCGGGTATTGGCTTGCTAGCCATCCACATTTAGTATTTTGGATCATAGTTAAATACAGTGCGGGAATTAAACGAGGTTTAAAACATACACGTTTTATTCGGTAACATAAATGAAAGAATTGGTCAAAAAAACGTTGACTTCTATAAAAAATACATATACGTGAATAATATGTTTTTTGTTA